CATATGGTTTTCTTAGTACAATATAAACACTGAGTTTTCACTTTTCATCCCTAACTTACTTTATAAGTTACGTAAGGAAAACCTTCATAGACTTCAGATTTCAGTTGTGCAGATATTTGCTTCAGTGTGATTTTAAATGAACACAGTGGATTCCCTTTGTTAAAAGTAGATTTAAATGGAGCTGTGGACACAAATAGGCCTGTAAAAAGTTAGGAAAACTTGGAGTACGTAGGAAGTGAGATGACATGAGCAACATGAAATCATACAATGACGACAGCTAGATTTTAATTAAACATTCAGATAGTATCAGACTACCAGGTACTTTCAAAATCATGTTTCATTGATTATGAGCATGATCATGGTAAGAAAAATAACACAGAGTAAGAATTCAAACAAAAATAATGTGTAGTTATAAAAGGATTATGAAAATATGGACCAGTGCAGATGCTTTGATTATTTTTACTTAATTCTACTTTTATGTACAATTAGTTACAATTAATTAAAGCTAATTATGATTAATTGCAATTAATTGTAATTTAGTTAAATGTACTTTTAAATGGTTGAAGAGGAGTAAACAATGCATTAAAATTCAGGTCATTTTAAATTAAAAAACTGTTCTGAAGCCAGTGGGAGTTTGTTTCAAATGCCTAGAACTGCAGAAAACTAGAGGCACATGTAACGGTCTTCTGTTTCATTTAACTTTCTTGTTCAAAATGGAAATTATGTGGGAATCAAGGAGTAGGGGAGTCTGTTTCTGACTGAAGTATCGATGGGGATGTGCTGTCTTAACACTGTCCCGTCTAAAACATTTTTTTCCTATAAGAATATTTCACACTACCGGTATTTCGAGTTTAGGAAAGAAGGGAGGTGACAGCCACAACCATTCAGGCAGGCTCACATTTGCACTTCTTTGTCCTTGTTACCAGCCAACTCTAATTGTCAGCTGAAGCATCCGAAGTTTTGAAACATGCAGACTTCATTTCTTGTTTCTGTTGAGAACTGAAATTGTCAAATACCACAAAAGAGACAGTTGGTCATGTTTTCATCTGAGTTTTGCAGATTCAAAAAATATGGACAGGTTGGACAATCTTCAAGTAAACACATAAACAGTTCAAAGCACAGAGGTAGATCCAAACCAAATTGAGAGCCTGGATCTTAAAGCTCCCACGTTTCATTAACACTTGGGTCCAGATCCAAAAATCTCAGTGGGCTCCATTGTGTACAAAGGGATGGACCAAACCCATGCCCAAATCAGCTTTCTTCTTCCTCCTCAAGCTGTGAAGGTGTTTGACTCTGAAACCAAGCACTGAGCATCATTTCTCATGTTGCTCTCCAGTTGGGTGGTTGTTAACAGCTGAAGGTAAACGCAGATCCTTTGAGGCTCAGCCAATGAAAAACCAAAGGTTTGAATAAACACTGTTGACTTAGCCATGATCTCATGAGACAGCAGATCTGTGTCTGCTCCAAAGGCCAAAATATTTCTGATGGCAATACAAGCTACTTTATTTTTATCAGTGAATAGAGTGCCAATAAAAGGTTCCACATTTATAGGCTTCATTTTTTTAGAAGTAATCAGTAATTTGGGGTTCTCAGTATGAAACACCATATGCTTGACTTTTCTGAAAAAGCTGAATATTTTAATTCTGAACATTGAAATTTCTTAGAATTGCCAGTCTTTTTTTCTTTTGTCCTTTAAAGTGTCAAGTGACAATTTCCAGAAATATGAAAATGTTGTTGTAGTAGACACAATTTCTGTAAAAAATAGACAGTCTTTTGCTTTCTCACTTCTGCGTAGTGAGCATTTTTGTAAGAGATGTCTACATATTTCTTGAAAAACTTTTTGTTGAACAGTATTGTTAGATTTAGTCTGATGCGTGAGCAACTGCAACAACTGCCAAAAGTATAAAATATATTAATAAAAAATTATCTGTTTCATAGGATTGCAGATTTTTTCAGGTCAGAAGGGGCATTAAAGACCACCTCGTTCAAGCCCTCTGCCGTGGGTAGAGGTATCTTCCTGTAGACCAGGTTGCCTGGAGTCAAGCTGGCCTTGAACACTGCAAGGGATGGGGCATCCCCATTCTCTGGACAGCTCGTTCCCGCTCCTCCCCACGCTGCGGGTGCAGGATTTTCCCGGTGCCCCGTTTTATCCCGGCCGGATTACCCGGGCCCGGCGCGGGAGGGCGGCGGTTCCGCGGGGGCACAGCGCCACCT